GAAGACAAACCTCGATATCGAAGACAATGCATATGATAATACATGTACGAATTTCTCATATGTAATATACATATATATATATATATATGTATATATATATATATGTATATATACCTATATTCATATATACATATATACATACATATATACATATATGCATATATACATACATGCATATATACTTATTATATACATATATACATATATACATATATATATATATACATATATATATATATATATACACGTGTACATACGTACATACGTACATACGTACGTGCATGCATGCATGTTTGCCACTTACAAGTATTCACACGCAGACACAGGTACATACATGCATACATACATATGACGAGCCACCACGTGTCGTCCACCTTGCCTGAAAGATCTGTATTTACCGATCAAGCCCAGAACTGCTGGTACCAGTTTTGAAGAGGTGTGTCTTGCTATAATACTTCAGGCATTGTATCCTAGGGATATCAGGTAAGCAATTTGTGGTTTGGGCGATGGGTTTGCAATGTCGTGGCTCCTGTGCGCCTCATCACACGTACATATCAACATCAACAATTGTGACCTGGGCTCCTGAACCGGATGTGTCCCTTTGATTCGCTTCTCAATTTCGGGTGCCAAGTAAACACTCATGTAACAGATTGCTTTTCCGAGTTCGCCGCCACCATTGCACGCACGGCGAAACCAAGAGAAGGTCAGGATGAATCGGCTGTTTACACGTAATTGACGATCCTCGACGCATTGGCTTAACCGCCGGCTTGTGCACCTCGGATGTCCTAGAATACCTCGTGCTCACCTGTAGATCCAAGCGGCATTCTATCAGGCAGCGGTGCAGTGTCTTTGGTGATGAGGGACCATGGCATTTGATGATGGCTCGTCGTTCCATGTACATTACCTCTGAGTCAGCGCCAATCTCCTTAATGTCAAAGTCGGGAAGCAAGCTTTGTAGGCCCTAGAATTCATGTCGTCGAAGTCAAACGCGAGACCCCTCTGAACCAACAAGCAGCCTTGCAGGATTCTGTTTCAGGCGCCGACTCCATCCTACGGCCCGACAGACTTTCCGGGGGAGCTGCTGAGCGTATTCGGGGCTAGGACATTGGTTTCTGAGGTGTTGACTCTGCCGATCTGGAGGATTTGGTTCAAAGGCACGGCCACACTCTTGGTCTCTGGTGCCCACTACTTGTATTACTACTGTTTTCGTGTTGTAGCATATCATCGCAACCAAGGATGCACTACCCTGTAATCCAAACTCTTCCTACGTCAATGACGCTGAGTGGCTTAACACAGCTCCAGGTTGGTATGGATTCCTCGAACGCGGTGGCACAGTAGGCGGGATTAGATGGCGTGTCGGGGCCTGTTGGCTTGCGACTTGTGCGTCCTACTTTACCTGAATACTTTTGAAAGCTTGGTCACATTGCAGAGTTCCAGGTACGAACAAACGCACTCCAGAAATAGCGGACTGGAAGATGGAAGGCCGACTTCTCGTCCCGACGATGCTGCCATCCCAGCATTGCTCATGCGGCCACACAGCTGCAGTTGACATGGGGTGGGAGTGAATGGCGTCCTTACATGCCTTGGTCCAGGTAAATGCTATCTGCTATCTCTGTATTGGCACAAACTCTGCCGGGAAGGCAGGCCAATCTTAGCGAGTCAACACTCTCATCAACAACAGATGTGTCGGTTATGCTTCTTGCTGCATTCGTCCGACAGCTTGTTTTGCCAGCTTGGTTTGCTCGATGAGCTTTGGCAACCTCCGAGGAGAATCGCGCGCAGAGTTTCAGTACGTGTGCACAGACTCGGATAGGCACACCTTCTTGTCAATATGAGAAGAGCCATCAAGATCACCAAAAGCAACTAGTTCGATTTATGCATGGAGTACTTGCTACTGATGCTGCAGCAAGGTCACCCTCGGCGAGATATCTGGTGGTCTATTTTCACTGCAATGGCGTGGATTTGGGCATGTGCAAAGGGTTCTGTAACGTACTTCGGAAGCAGTTCCGAGTGCATGTGCGGCTTTGCAGCAAGAAGATCCTACCCTTGCACTGTGAACTTCGCCGCCCACGTGGAAGCCTTAGACAGATGTTCATTTTGCATGTGACGAAAACGACAGCTTCAATGTCGAAACTGTCATGCCTTCAGTATACATAAGCATGCTAAGCGGCAGCTGACACGCAGAGACAGTGCAATCACACGTGGGTCTCTTGATTCGCTGGTCCATGTCTCGTCGGAGCAGTCCGCAACGCCTAGCTTTAGCATGATGCCTTGTTGACATCCAGGAACGGAGGGTTTGGGGTTCGATGACTAAGCAACACTAGGCATATACATACTTGTATACAGTACTCAAGAGTATCGTGTATCGATGTGTGTATCACATTTACGTGTATACATGTAAGCATATACATGCACATACATGCATATACTATTACATACACGCAAGCATGCATGTATGCTCGTTGTTGGAAGGTTCGCCACCGTTGCATTCCCATTTGGATTCATACATCCATTGCTGTTTTACCTTTACATATGTTCATGTTTTTCGTTCCCCAAAAAGTCGTTCTGCATGTCACCGTTTGGGGCAGAAAGGGTTACATAGATTGCTGTCCGCTCGAAGCGCCCGAGAGCTGCGCACCCGTTCGTTCGCCGCCCGATTGAAAGTAACAAATTGGAGGCCTCGGGTGCCGCGCGCCTTTGCAATCGTGCTTTCACATGTTGCTAGCAGTTTAAAACACTGACATATAAGGGTAGGGCCAGGTCATTCGGTCTCTTTTGGCTCTTCGGCGTAACGGGTTGCTCATTTTGAGGATCGAGACATTTGGTCTCCTGGTGCTTTCACTATATAGTTTGAGTTTGCACAAGTCCTCCCGACATATTTCCTTGCAGCATCTGGCTTTTGCCACTGTGCGCATTCTGGGGTGCAACTCGTCTTCCCACAGAGCCGCTTGAATTTTGGTCGACATTTCTTGATCTGACAGTCTGGTGCGTATTCTACACTTGGGACACTTAGGTTCATCTTGGAGAATCATCGAGTGGGGCTTATTCCAGCACAACATACATTTGCATGCTCGCTTGTTTCTTATTGTATCGTCTCTTCCACGCAAAGTGAAAGCGGCATCTTGTGAGGCTTGCCGTGGAGTATCCGGGCTATGGCGCGTGGCATGCAGCAACAACACCAGAGACCATCGTGGACAGTGAACCACGCAGCGGTTGTGTTGTAGTCTGTTTATGTACTTGTGTGTGTGTGTGTGTGTGCGTCTTGTTCGTTGTCGTCGTCGTTGTTGTTGTTGTTGGTGGTGGTGGTGGTAATGGTGGTGGTGGTGACGGCGGCGGCGGCGGTGGTGGTGACGGCTGTGGTGGTGGTGGTGGTGGTGGTGGTGGTGGTGGTGGTGGTGGTGGCGGCGGCGGCGGTGGTGGTGGTGGTGCTGTTGCTGCTGCTGCTGCTGCTGCTGCTGCTGTTTTTGTTGTTACACCCTGACAGCTAAGCTAAGGGTTCTCTGAGGAGTTGACCTCACCCGGTACGTGATTGCATGTATCAGCAAGGGGGCACGGCATCAGATTCCAGACCGTGCCTAACAAAGCTACGGAATTTCTTGGGAAGCAAGGGCTGATCACCCTTGTGTACCTGCATATTGCTTGTGAATGCTTGTGATATCGTACTTGGTTTTGCTGTGTATTGTTTCCGTCGTGCATCACTCTTACTTCTTTTGCAGCTGGATGGACATGGCGAGGGGCCAAGCCAGAAACCCCAATCCGAACACTGCATATTCACTCAGGTTGATGGAGTAAGTGGTACCCAGGAGCCGGCGAACTCATGGCAGATAGGAGCAATCAGCATTGCCAAGTAGTGGTGGTGGTGGTGGTGACGGCTGTGGTGGTGGTGGTGGTGGTGGTGGTGGTGGGCAGGGGCCGTGTTGTTGTTGGTGTTGCTGTTGGTGTTGTTGCTGTTGATGGTGATGGTGTTGGTGTTGGTGTTGTTGGTGGTGGTGGTAGTGGTGGTGGTGGTGGTGGTGGTGGTGGTGGTAGTGTGGTTTTCGTATTTGCTGTCTTCGTCGTTCTTGGTTGTTGTCTTCGTCGTTCTTGGTTGTTTGAAAGACTTTGTGCAATATCCTTTCGTGTAATATTAATATCAATGGGTACTGCTATAGAATACTGTTACAATTACTGGTACTGGTCCCATTACTTTTGTTGTTACCATGTCTATAATTATTGTTATCACTATTGCTAATACTATTACTGTTACTATTACAGTACCTTTGATGCCACTATTACTTCACGATTGCTACGACTATCTGTACGATCTCTGTTTATCATTACCATTCTTGTTATTGATCTAGCTATTGCTATTATTGTTGTTACTATGGCTCTGTGTGCGCTATTTTTCTTGTGTTCGCTTGATATTGGTGTTGTTGTTGGTGGTGGAGTTGGGCTTGGTTTTGGTCTTGGTTTTGTTTGCTCTTGGTGTTGGTCTTGGTCTTGAGATTGTTGTTGGTCGTTACGCTTCATGGCATCCGCCGCAGGTGATGCTACGCCTGGAACTACGACAGCGAACAATACTACTGCTTATGCTACTGTTACTTCTATAGCTACTGCTGCTGCTGCTGCATGAGATGCTACTACTACTACTACTACTGCTACTACTACTATTACTCCTACTACTCCTACTACTACTACTACTGCTGCTACTACTACTACTACTACCACTACTACCACTACTACTATTACTATGACTACTACTACTACGACGACGACGAACTACTACTACTACTACTACTACTACTACTACTAGTACTACTACTACTACTACTACTACTACTACTACTACTACTACCTACCACTATATGACTACTACTGGTACTAGTACTAGTTTTGCTACCACTACTACTACTACGACTGCTACTACCACTACTAGTACTGCTGCTCTTACTACAACAACAACAACAACTATACTACTACTACTACTACTACTACTACTACTACTACCACTACTATTACTATTTTCTTAAGACCATTACTTTTGCTACTACTGCTACTATTAGTACTCCTACTGTAAATTTGTTCATATAAACTGCATGATTCTATGAATGGTGCTATGCTTTAGAGGGCATGGAATGTGTGCTTGCAGACTATTGCATATTTTGGTGTGTGTGGCTGTGTCAAACTTGCATGTGCATGCATAAGTGTGTGTGAAACAATGTACACATATGTATGTAGTTTACAAGTTATGCTGACTAGCTCACATGCATGTACGCA